TCCCTCAGTGTAAAGTGACTGATACTGTTACTGATGAAGAGTTTACCTTCAGTCTTCAGTCCTCAGGTGAGAAACAGGTTAGAAGATGATGAACTGAAGAAGATCACTGACATCACAGGAAACTAGGATTAGATTCAAGATTTGGACACAACTGGACTATTTTCTCATTTTAGTAACAATCGGATTGTTAATAATGACCAAAATCAACTGATAGTTATTTAATCTGTCTAATACTTTGAAAGAGTTTTAAAGACTAAAATATGAACAGTTTTGGTTTCTGACACTTTGTTCTTGTTTCCAGAAATATCAGGAGGAAAAGTTCAACCAACAAACAAACCTGGAAACAAAAACTCAAAGACAACCAGACCAGAAACAGAAAATATCTCACCAACCTTTCAAGGTAGTGATTGTTCTAATGTTTTAGTATATTTCAAAATCATGATCATATGATATTATAATCTGCACATTTTGGCCTTTTTGGTTCTGAAATGAGAGAATAAAGACATGAAATAAGATTTACGAAAAAATTCTGATAAAAACTTTACTTAGACAATATAATCCATTTCATTACAAAATATTTAGCAACTTTTTTTCTTATTTTTCCTGGAAACTGAACAAATGAAGCCACTCCAGGAAACAAGGACCCAAAGCAAACAGTTGGGAGCAGGAGAACTTCTGTCACAACAAATCAAGGTTTGTTCCAAATATACACAGTTATGAATATATGAGTTGTTTGTCCTGAGCTCCTGTTATCATGTTGTTGTTATTTCAGTCATCTTTGTATATAATGTGGTGATCATCAGATGGAGAGTTAGGGATGAGAGTTCTGACTGATAAAAACCAGAACTACATCTTTCTGAAAGATAATTTTTTTAGATAAGTCAGAATAACAGTTTTAAAAGACATCATCAATGTTCATAAAAGTCACTTTATCCTCCATAGGCTGGGACATTTTAGAGCTTTGGTGAATTTAAAACAATTGTCCTTCAGAGTTGGTCTTATTTTGACAAGTTGAGAAAATGTTGTAAAGCTCACTGGTGTCATGATGGGTACTCTGAGAGTGACCCAATTATGCATCACACCACTGACGGACACAAGTATAAAAGTTCAACNATTCAGCAACAGTTTTAACTAAGGTACAGCAAAGAACTCTCAACTTTTCACCAGTTTATATGAACAGTTCTCACTACTTTGTATGAGAGCTTTTGAGTAGATTATATAAGAGGTCAATGTTTTCACTAGTTTATGTGAGAGCTTTTTACTAGTGTTTGTGTGAGGTTTTCAGTATATTATATGGAAGAGTGTAATTTAATATGTGTATATGCAAGTTAATTCTGATTTATGTCCCTGGGGGCACCTCATAGTTTTTTCTTGAACTCCTGTTATCATGTTGTTGTTATTTCAGTCATCTTTATACATACTGTGGTGATCATCACATGGAAAGTTAGGGATGAGAGTTTTCATACTGATAAAACCAGAAATACATCTTTCTAAGTAATCATTTTTTGAGATAAACCAGAATCACAGTTTTAAAAGACATCATCAATGTTCATAAGATAACGATAAAACTTTTTTCAGTCTTCTTCATCATTTGCAAAGAGATGTTAAAAGAACAGCACAACCAACAGACATGGTACGAGACATAAAATAAACTAACACCTAGATACTATCGCTGAAGTATTAGTTAATCTGAAATGTACTCTGTGTTAACTGAAGACTAGTCTTTAGCCCTAAGGTGAGAAAATGGTTAGAAGATGATGAATTGTAGAAGATCGCTGACATCACAGGAAACTAGGATTAACTTCAAGATTTTTTTAAATATCTGGACTGTTTTCAAATGTATTTATACATAGATTTTTGTAAATTATCAAATCATCCAATATAGTTTTATCTATAATATTTTGAAATAATTAAAAAACTGAAATAAAAATTGTTTTGTTTATTCTGATGCGTTTTTCATTTCAGGAGGGAAGGTTCAAGCAACAAAGGAACCTGGAGGCAAACAGTTTAAAACAACCCAACCAGGAACAGTCAATACTCCACCAACTTCACAACAAAGTAATCTTTTAATGTTTAAAACAAAGCTATATGTTTAATTAGATGTTGATATCATGTCTGTTTTTCTCTGCCTACGTTAGCATATTTTTTTTGCAAATCTTTCATTTTAGCTTCTTGATGTGTAACAAGCATCTTTTAAAAATGAATCAGTTAATTTCACACAGATCAGGAAATTTAGGCCTAAAGTTTTTTAAATATTATGAATCTTTATGAGGCAAATGTCTGCCTTTAGAATAAGTTGCGTTGCATTTTTTTTTACAACATACAGTATTTACAAACTTGTAACTAAACAAATAAAGCCACCACTGTAAAAAAAAAAAAAAAAAAAAAAAAAAAGCAAACTAGGACACCATCATACTCAGTAGATTAATATAAATATGCAGCTTATGTTGGTGTGTGGTTTGTTTTCAGCTCCTGGAATCATTGCTGGAGTCTTGGTTCCTCTCATTTTCTTGATATTTGCTGTGGTGATCATCAGATGGAGAGTAAAAGGTGAGAATGGGGACTGAAAAAAAATTAAATCTTTAATCATCATAAGTGCTTATGATAAATGAAAAATTTGTTGTTGTTTTTTTTTTTTTTTGTTTTTTTCAGGAAAGAAAATCCCGACCAGTGAAACTGCTGTGAGTAAAGTTTCTATCTATTTGATCTAAGGTGTCTTTGTTTCTCTTTTAGTTCTTTTGAGTTTTTTTTCTATTTTCTCGGTGACTGGTAGCCTGATAAACCAGACTAAATGTGAGATTAAATGTGTAATTTAGTCTGGCCCCGATGAATGAGACATTGGAAGATTGTTGATGAGAACAACCCGTTGTTTTTCAATCCATGTCTTTGCCTATTGGCCAACACTCTGACCAATGAGAGCAACTGACTGTGACGTAATAAGTGCGACAGAAAGCTGGTGGGGGAGTGTAAACAAACAGCCTCTCGGTAAAATGGCGAATACGTCCATCTTAAAAATGAATGAGCGTAGAGCCTCTTCCTGCTCAAGTTTCAACGAAAACCCCAAGTCTAATCCTTCCAAAACTGATTCCAAAGCTAAGTCCAAAATCTCCATCAGAGCCAGCGGTCCTTCACACACGACTATGCCGAGAGAGGGCTGCTGCACACGGGCTGCGGTTAGCCTCAGAGGTCCACTGGTTGCAATGGCAAAAATTATTTTGACCGCTGGCGGTTGGGGCTAGTTTACTAGGCTAGGTAAATGGCATAAATGCAAAGAACTCAGTCTGAAACCTAATTCAGGCAGGACTTAGTGTGAATATTTGTAATTGAAAACTCCTCAAGACTGCATAGAAAATGTTTATCTGCTGAAAGGAAGCTAGAAATGTTTATTAGATGTGCTCATACTCCTCCGCTTTATCAGAGACTGGTTTGCTCAGGCAGCAGTCTCTGCAGAGACTCTCAGACTTTCCTCTCACCAGCCTCCTCCTCCAGCTCAGCTGGGGGAAGAATGAGGCGTCCAAAGAAAAGGCATCCAGGATATGATTCTAAAAAAACTAAAACATTTTTGATAAATACTTTGGTTTTTATTCCTAAAACCAAACCAAGACATATTAAAAACATTTTTGTAATCATTTTATGGATCAAGGTATACATTTCTAACTAATTATTTTTATGGTTCTTTCCTCTCCAGGTTGATCTTGGAGGTGATGTTACCTACGCCACCATCACACATCCAGGGAAAAAGAAAAGAAAAAATAAAGTAAGATAGTTTCTACATTTTCACAGTTTAATGTCATGTAAAAAAGATAAACCATCAGAGAAAAAAAATGCCAAAGTTTGCTCATAGAGCCACCACCATTTTCCTGCATGATGGTTGTAAACCATAAAATCAATTTGAACACGTTTATTTTCAGCTAAATTTTCATTGAGGAAACCTTTTCCAGAGAACGGCCTAACTTTCTTGAACCAGTTCTTATTCTGTTCTTTCTCTAGTGTAGATAGAAAGAAAATAAATCCTATAATGAAGTTAGAGATCACAGGATCTCAGTAGGGAGGTAACACTTTAAAATTACCCTGAATCTTCAGGCTGCAGGTTTGTGAAAAATTTATTTTCAGAATGTATTTTCATTATTTTAATTTAAAGTCCTCCATGTGTTTTATTTGCAACAGCATCAATTTTGTTATACATTAGGGGAGAAAGTCCCAAATATCACCTATATTTTGATTCTATCCCCGGCAGCAGATGATGCACAGATACTATTCTGTCTTTATTCTGACATTTGGCCATCAAAGTCTCTTGGAGCCAAGGTCCAATTTTCTCTCATTTAGTTATTTTGTACATGAGTGAATTCCTCCTAGAGCTTTTGAGTTACAGACTTTAAAATCACTATGCATAGACTTAATGCATTGGGAGTCAAATGTTATCAAATTATTTTTTTACTACATCAAAGCATGTGGCCATGGCCAGACCTAAAAATTTGACTTCTTGCCATAAAACTAATGGACATGATTAAGTAATATCTGAGCGAACTCCTCAACATGAGAGTTAACTTGGCTCCACATAGACTTAAGGAATTGGGGATCAAACGTTACCAAAGGATTTTTTTCCTCCATCAAAGCGTAGTCACATGCCCACAGGGGTCAAAATTGGAATGAATAATTCCACAATACGAATTCAACCCATTTAACAATAAATCTGTCCCAGGCCATGCTTTTACTGAGGAATAATATATTTTATACACATGATACAGATGTGTAACTCATCAAGGTCTACAAAAAAAATTCCTGGAGACATTTTAAATCAAAGCCGGTATTCTGTCTTTGTTATTCATATTGAAGCAAACTTAAGTCATTGGGGATCAAAAGTTATCAAAGTGTTCAAATTTTCAAAATCTGACTTCTCACCATAAAATATCATATATATATATATATATATATATATCGTATATATATTAGTATCGTATATATGTATATATCTATCTATAGATAGATAGATCTATATATCTATAGATAGATATATAGATCTATATATAAAACATGTGATTAAAATAAGATCTAAGGTGTCTCCTGACAGCAGCTATCTGAAATGTGGTCGTATCCAAGATGGCCGCCCTCTAAGCACACCGGCCAGTGTCCAATGAGGTGTCTACATATATAATGTCTATGGTGTTAGCGTTGATGATGTCACCAGTGTGACAGAAATCAAGAAAGTAAACAATGGAGGACAACATGTAAGGAAGCCAGGGCGTAGTCAGTGTGCTTTATTGTTTCACTCTATTATCTTTCTGAATCCCTCATACCAGCGCTGTGCCTTGTTTAACAAATGTAAACATTGTTTTTTTTAGTTTGTTAGAACAGACATGGCTGGCGCGGGTTGTTGACGCCTGTACGTGTCATGTTGGGCTTCACTGACTTAACCCACATGCAGAACACACCACGGAGACAGGGGTAAAAATTCAAAGGTTTATTGAAGAAGCACAAACACGTAATCACAGTTTCAGGTATAAGCCCGGGACAGACTTCACGAGGGTTCTCTGTAGAGAAGGGAGAGTTTGGTTAGCCAGGGGTCTGGGGTAGCTTGACTGAGTTTGATGTTGATTCTATACCTGAAGGTACTCTGACAGACACGATGAGAGGGGGAACCAGTTGGGTCCAGAGCTTGTGGGTTCAGCAGAGGGTTGACAGCGGCAGCGCTT